CAAGACTTGTTATCAAAGGTTATAGACAAAAGGAAGGCCTTGTTTACTTTGACACTTACTCGCCAGTAACGAGGATAACATCTATTAAGGTGTTAGTGGCAATAGCAGTCGTATATGGTCTTGAAATCCATCAAATGGATGTTAAAATAGCTTTCTTAAATGGAGAATTAGAGGAAGAGATTTACATGGAACAACCTGAGGGTTTTGTGGTAACTGGTAAAGAAAAGAAAGTGTGCAAACTTGTTAAGTCACTTTATGGACTTAAACAAGCACCCAAATAATGGCATGCCAAATTTGACCAAACAATGTTGGCAAGTGGGTTTAAAATCAACGAGTGCGACAAATGTGTTTACATTAAAAACACTCCAGGTCATGAAGTCATTGTTTGTTTATATGTTGATGACATGTTGATAATGAGCAAAAACATGGCAGATATAAATGCTACTAAGCGCATGTTGGCTAGCAAATTCGATATGAAAGACTTAGGAGTTGCTGATGTGATCTTAGGAATCAGAATTCACAAGACTCCACAAGGTCTAGCATTATCACAGTCTCACTACATTGAAAAGGTACTTGACAAGTTCAAGTATTTGGATTTCAAAATTGCCAAGACTCCAATTGACGTGAGTTATGCACTTCAAAAGAATGAAGGTGAAAGTGACTCACAATTGGATTATGCAAGAGTATTGGGAAGTTTGATGTATATCATGAATTGTACACGACCAGATATAGCATGTGCTATTAGTAAACTGAGTCGGTTTACAAGTAATCCCAATCACATACATTGGATGGCAATGAAACGAGTTTTGGGGTATCTCAAACATACCCAAAATTACGCTTTGCATTATAACAAATATCCCTCCGTGATCGAGGGATATAGTGATGCAAATTGGATCACTGGATCATCTGAAGTTAAATCCACGAGTGGATATGTTTTCACAATTGGGGGTGGAGCAGTGTCTTGGAAATCATCCAAACAAACGTGCATCGCCCGTTCTACAATGGAATCTGAATTCATAGCTTTAGATAAGGCCGGTGAAGAAGCTGAATGGCTCCGGAATTTCTTGGAAGATATTCCATTTTGGCCCAAACCTTTGGCACCTATTTGTATACATTGTGATAGTCAAGCGGCAATAGGCAGGGCAGGGAGCGTTATGTATAACGGAAAATCTCGTCATATACGACGGAGACACAATACCGTTAGACAACTACTCTCTAGTGGTGTTATCACAATTGACTACATAAAGTCAAGAGATAACGTGTCGGATCCACTTACAAAAGGCCTATCTAGAGAGGCAGTTGAAAGATCATCAAAGGGAATGGGGTTAAGGTCTAGGACAAGTCATCATGACGGTAACTCTACCTAGCAGACTGGAGATCCCACGAGCTAGGTTCAAAGAGATCAAACAAAGTTATGAATGACGGTTCAACATTGTCAAATAACTCAACCCATTCTCGTGATGAAGACAATGTTCAGAAATCGAGGTAAAGCATTAAGGCTTTTTGATGAGTCAACAAAGCTTAAAGGTTTTTTAATGATTTGCTAAGTCTGGCAGGATATGACCAGATAGTGTGTCTATAGGATTACACGTTTAGAAATCACCTATGTGAGTGTGAAGTGTAAGCCGCTTCAAGGGGAATGAAAGTAAAGGCCCATTCTCTAAGCACTCATGAAACCAGGCGGTGTTCATGGCTGAAACGAACACAACCGTGAGAACCATAGATGGTTAAGGATTGATTGTGTGACTTATGTTGTCTAGGTATACAACAAAGCTCGACGGTTCAAAGATATCAAATCTACCGATTGACCGAGTATATCCGATATAAGTTCACTACGGAAAGTTCAAAGGGAAACCTACTTATCCAGATGCAATTAATTCTTGCATGTAAAACACACACGCGTCCGTGCATTCCTTTATTTTATAGCCATCCCCCATTCATGGGGGATTGTTGGGATTTTAAGCTTGTATAGCTTAAAGAGGATGAATGAGAAATGGAGGAAAAATAAAATATTTGAGTTTCCCTTGGGAAAGGGACATTGTCCCATATCGGAGGAAGAAAAGGTTTTTGATGGGTATATATATAATTGCTCTTCTTCTAGCTCTTAAAGAGTTAAGAAAAAGGCAAGCCTCGCGTCGTCGTCGTCGTCGCTCGCTCGGCTTCGGCTTCGGTTTCGGATATTGATTGATTAATCTTTTTGGACAAAATTCCTTTCAACTATTTAATTAATTAATTAAATAATTAACGAAATGTTGCAACAGCCATGGCTGTTTCTGAAAGGTTGCAAACCTTTTTCAGAAACATTGCCATCAACTCTATAAATAGAGTTTGAATCCCAGAATCTTTCCTTACGAAATTTTCTGAGCTTCTTCTTCTTCTTCTTCTTCTGCACAATATTTTCCAGTGTGTTTTACGACCATTGAGTGTTTCGCAGTTTATCAGAGTTTTCGTACCTATACACTGGTGAGTTAAATCGTTCTATCCTGGGAGGATATATTCCAGCACCTCGGGTACTTGAGGGGAATAATTTTCTTAAGGACACACTGTGTATTCAGTGAGCTCAATTTATTCCTATACTGTTTTCTTGTTTTCCAGAATCTATTTCGTTAAACAAGTATTACTAACTTTCTGTTTTATTTTTTCAGAAAATTTAATTGTTTATTATAGCAATACAGAGTAATAACAATTTGTAGGTGCTCCTCCAAATGGTTTATGCATTTTCTTCTCTCCTCGGCGAGATTTTGATTCTATATACAAGGATCCACACTTCACCATTCAAAATGTACAAGACATAAAATGAAAAATTACATACAGATAATAAACAAACGTATGGTTAGCAACTTCAAAAAACTTTGCACACATATGCACTTCTGCATCTTTATAGACTCATTTAGGAGCATGTTGCAACCACTTGTCCCGTCTCCTATCCAGCTAAACATATAGCGGAAACTATTTATTAGAATGTTATCAAAAGAACTGCCGAATTATAATTTTCGATGCATATAGTAGCTTATCTCGCGTGAATTTGATAGATGCAAGAAACTTGTGCACTCAACATTACTCACTCTTTCCATGGAGGAGCATGAACAAGTCCTGCCTTCCCTGATTGAGATCTCTCTATCACCAAATCAACTATAAAGCAGCTATAACAGTATTACTACTCATATGGTGCACCACTTAATCCAGGTTCTTCATCTTCATCCATTTCCTGCTCCACACCTTTAACCTCGGGCACATAATGCATGAGCATGTTCTCGATACCAGATTTAAGTGTAACGGATGAGCTAGGGCATCCACTGCAAGCTCCTTGCATTTTCAATTTGACTATTCCCGTATCTAAATCAAATCCTCGGTATACAATGTCCCCACCATCATCTTGTACAGCTGGGCGAATACGAGTCTCTAAGAGTTCCTTAATCATTGCAACTGTTTCTGAATCATCCTCATGGATAGCTGTATCCATGGAGGCTGCAGTGCTGGAGTCGAGGAACAGCGGCTTCCCAGAAGAATAGAAATCCATAATTGCTGCAAATATTTCGGGTTTGAGGAAGTCCCAGGAAGTATCTTCACCTTTTGTAACAGTAACAAAATCTGATCCAAAAAATACACGTGTAATCCCTGCATGAAGGAAAACAGGATTAAACTCTTAGGCGCATTCATGGAAAAGCAAAGAACAATACGAATACTTTGTTTGTCTAATTTATATGACACAATCTCCTTCTACACGTCCCAAATGTTTCACATAATTCTACAAATATCAATTGATATAACTCACTTGTTTCAAGAATTCAAGTACATCTATTATGCAACAAAGTGTTTACGTAAATGTTTTCTCAATTACACTAACTTATCAACTATTATGTTACTATTTCTTAATGAACTTGCCTATATTATACAAGTCAAACTTACGTTGTAGAATTTCATATTCATTCAAATTATGTCACGCGTGGAAGCAATTTGCAAAGGAAGTTGTCTCAAATACATACTGCAATCTATCATGATTCACGCGGATTTAGCAAAAAAAAATAATACCATGGAGGCAAAAGATCTACATAATGATACCAACTAGTTAAGTCTGGCATTTTGTTTTTTTGACAACTGAAAAATCCTCGAGGGCCCGTGCACGACTGGAAACTTCGTGGGTAACGGGCATGCCTCTCTACCCTTCTCGACTTAAATACCAAGCTTTTTTCTGCATCAAGGTTCGAACATGTGTAGTGTGCGTAACACATACATCATGTGTTGCGCTCATACCATTAGAGCAAAGCCCCGGGGCCTAGTTAATTCTGGCATTTATAGAAGTCTTTTTAGTTTGTTTAGAGATCTGCGATAGGGAACTCCAATTTATTGAGTATTGGAATGAAACATCTCCAAGCGGAGAAATATCGGAAACTTTTATTGCGGACCTCAACTAATTTAGGTTTAAGGCATAGTTGTTGATAGGGGACTATAGGTTATGTTGCTCAGACTCTCCAAAATGACACCAGGAGCGTGTCGAATCCTCCTACATTAGTGCATTTTCTGAGGATCCGATATCGTATGACGGTATTTTGGAGAGTCCACACAACATAGACTATACGAACATCATATCTCTATTCAGCAAAGTAACCCATTTTTACTCATTTAAACTAAAGCAGAAAGTAGAAATCAAAGATATAACCTCTTGATTAAGAACAGAAAAGAAAACCTTCAGATCTTATTTGGCATCAAACAGAGAAATAAATTCCTTTTGTATATAGGTAATCTATTGAATAGGATGGTACCAAGGAGGTACAGCTATACACAAAGGTACCTGTTCGGCTCCATCTAAAATTGAAACCAGTGCATTAGTTCCATGATGTTGTCTACATCATTTACATTGTTTCTCCTATCAGCGAGTAAAAACTTTGAATGCATCTTAAGTTTGCATGAGTTATATGATGAGTTTTCCCTAAAAAAATCCTACAATTTCTTTCTCCATCCATATTGGCCACGGTATACATAAAGGTATAGTCTTCTGATTTGTTTTATTTTTTCCCACCTTTAACCCTTGCGTATTGATAAGTCTCCGCTTCAGATCTCCAGGCATCACCAGAATAGGATATAAGTGTAAGGCCCCGTAAAATTTCGCAAAGGAAAAATAATGTTTCATGGTGCCGGACTAGGCTTACGTGTTTGAGGATTGCAGAAATTCTTCGCAGCTCGCCGTGGCTCGGACTTTTTGGGTTGAACAATGCACTGGAAAGTGAAGGAAAAATTTGGGCAGAAAAATGCATTTCTGCGGACCGCATAATGGTCGCAGAATGAAGCAGGGGCGAGACAGTTTGGGCGAAAGTCTGCAGTGCATTATGCGACCACAGAACAGGTCCGCAGACCCAGGCAGATTCTTCCCCGGTTTTGGGCACCAAATTGTGCGGTCGATATGCGGACCGCATATCCATTCTGTGGTCACATATGCGACCGCATACCCTGTTCCGGAGCTTCATTTTTGGGTTTTTATAACCTGACCCTACTTCGTTAAATACACGCAAAGGACCATTTTTGAGCAAAAATTCTGATGTTTTAGATAGAAGTGAGAGTGTTTTAGAGAGAGGAAATCCTAGGCTAATTTTCATCAATCTTTGCTCAAATCTTGGAAGATTAACAAGGAAAATTCACAAGGTCTTCCTTCATCCTAGAGGTAAGATTCTACGCCCTAACCCTCCATTTCGAATTTTGCCTAGAATTGGATAATTAGCAAGACAATACTTGGGTATGGGAGTTGTTTATTTTGCATGCATGTGTTATCAAGGGGTGTAGGAAGATTGTTGAGCTAAAAATGGTAAAGAATGGGTTGAGGGATGATGGAATCCTCCATAAAAGGACTTTGAAACCTTAATACACACCTAGTGTTTGATAAAATGCTCAAATGAGCTAAAACCATGATCATCTTCCTAATTTTGGTTCAATTTGTTATATTTCTAAAATAGATTGAAGTTGCTAAGAATTTCGGAACATTTTAGAGTTTAAAGTAAGCTCAATTGAGGTATGTTGGCTAAACCCCTTCTTCTTAGAATTGAATCCCACGGTGTCCGTGTGATTGGTGTAAGTCCCAAATTGATCATTATAGAATTGGCTATTCCGAATGTGCTTGTGCTGAAGGATATATGTTCAATATGTATTCTAAATGTTTCATCATGTCATCTTATCATTTGAAGATATGTTCAAAATATGGAATATGTGTTAACAATGTTAAGACTTCAAGTCAAGATAGAATAAAAGATGTTATGCCAAATTGTATGAAAAGCATCTATGTGCCTAAGATTTCCTTATTGCTCATATGTGTATTTAATGTCTTGAATGGAAAGCCTTATTGTTGTTGATGATGATAATGATGTTTGAATGTGGAAAGGGGAACTGGAATTATGAAATTACGGCCAAGTGCCAAGAATGACTTTATAATTGTGGCCACTTATGCCAATGAATTGAAAAGAGGTGAAAGAGGTATGAAGTGAGATGATTGATTGAAAAAGGTAATGTCTCAGGTGAGACGGCCTAGCCGATCGGGCCGTGATCGGACGCCATGCCGCACATATGGTGGTGATTGTGCTGGAAATTATAATTGAAATTGTGGTTATGGTTGATGTCTCAAATGAGACGACCTAGCTGATCGGGTCGTGATCGGAATCCGTGTAAGAATACGGTGGTATTGTGAATTGTGGTATATCGGCACTAAAGATCACCCAACCTGATAACATGGAAATTGACTTGAAAACTTATGTGATTCTTAACTTGATATTTTAGTATTGTTTGAAGCTCTTATTGAATTCATGACTTGTTGCTCATATGTGTATTTAATGTCTTGAATGGAAAGCCTTATTGTTGTTGATGATGATAATGATATTTGAATGTGGAAAGGGGAACTGGAATTATGAAATTACGGCCAAGTGCCAAGAATGACTTTATAATTGTGGCCACTTGTGCCAATGAATTGAAAAGAGGTGAAAGAGGTATGAAGTGAGATGATTGATTGAAAAAGGTAATGTCTCGGGTGAGACGGCCTAGACGATCGGGCCGTGATCGGACGCCATGCCGCACATGGTGGTGATTGTGCTGGAAATTATAATTGAAATTGTGGTTATGGTTGATGTCTCAAATGAGANTCCCTTTTGCCGGGGGCGCTGCATCTTTAAATGGATGCAGGTGGTTCCATAGCAGGTAGTGTTGATCAGCGATAGTGGTACATCCTCTTCCCAACAAACTTGGTGAGCCCCACTNCTCCTCTTCCCAGCAGACTTGGTGAGCCCCACTTCATCCCGGGGTCATGTATTGTATCTTTTGTTCATATTATTATCACATTTTGAGGTATAGCCGGAGCCTTGTTGCCGGCACTATCATAACACTCTTTTGTATCTTTTAGAGGCTCAATAGACACAATGTGGGTTGTACATAGGTGCTATATAAGTCGAACAAGTTATATTGTGTTTTGATTACTTGGTCCACTCAAACCATAAGAATGTGTGTATTTTGAGACTTAAAATTGATGTAACTAATGAAATGATTTAGTATTGTGTACATGATCTCCCTACGGTCTAATTAACGAAATTATGTCTTCTCTTTATCATGGGTGCTAGTGCGTTGGGTAGAAAGTATCTAACAGGCTTGCTTGACCGGGTTCACTCGGTTGAGTGTCGGTCACGCTTCCCAAGTTTGGGGCGTGACAATAAGTTCAGGAACATGGTCCACATCAGTCATCTTACAAGCAAAACTGTCGTGAATGAACAGATAACTGACTGACTCTGTTACTTTCTCACATAGACTGCATATCCTGTATAACATGATGCCTCCTTTCTGCAATTTTTTCTATGTAGGACATGTTTCATGGGTTGCACTCCAGCCAAAACAATCTACTGTTTGGGGAGAACTTCTGTTTTCCTGATCATCTTCCCAATCCAATTACTATTTTCTATCATATTTTGTCTTAACGGCATCCTGTGACAAGAATTAACTGAGGATTTCCCATCTTTGCATCCAGTCTAACAAATAAAATCATACATTTCTCCAACATCGTCATTGGGTCCAGTTTTACTATTAAGTCTTCACACACCCCGATCCCCCGAAAATCGAATACCTTCTGAAAGGTCCACTCTCTATAAAACAATCTGCTAGAGCGCAATTCTTGTTTACTTCCAGATTGCATAAAATTGGAAACTTGTCCCTTAATGTATTTCTCCAACTATTCGTCTATGCAGAACCTTATTTTCCTCCCACCACACCTTTAATCATATAATAATTTAAAAACCTCACATACTAATTACTGGTTTTGTGCACCATTGATTCTCCTTCCCATACTTAACTGTCCAAGTCTTTTACATTTTTTCATTTTCATCAATCTCCGATGCTATTTGAGTAACAAGCTCTTGCTATGTAGCTTTACTCCCGTAACTCCATCTCTTTTATCCTACATGACTTTTGTCCATTTTACCAAATGATAACTTTATTGATACAACCTCCTTCCCACAAACGATCATTCCCTATTTTAGTTATCTGCTTCTCAACCTTTGGGGAAAAGAAATAGGGACATGCAGCAAGTAGGGATTCCATCCAGCACACTATTGACTAGAGTCAACCTTCCTCCAAGGATGAATACTATTTCTCTTTTTTGGTGAAGAGGGCAAAAACTATTTCTTCCAGGGAGCTAACTTCTTTATGCATTCTCAATCACTCCTTGCAAAATTGCAGTATCTTTTTGCTTTGTACACTATAGGAAATTAGTCCAGTATCATAGACAGCTTATGAAAGCTCTGGCCAGCATTAAATAATTGCTCTATTCTAAGTTAATATGTAAGCCAAGATGGCTTCAAAGACTAATAGGATCACCTTCAGATGCAACAACTGATTCCTTTGGGTTCACAAAATATGAGACACCCGAATAGAGAATATAAACTAATTCAGTATTTATTCTTTTTTCTATAATGGTGGTGTCCGGGACAGCTTGCCCGTAACTCAACTATTCCACCGAATACATGTTACCTTCCACCAACACAGGTACCGAATAACTATGCCCACCAAGGCTTAGGCAGATGGAAGAAATCACCTAATTTTTTTTGTCTATGCTAGGATTTGAACCCTAGTCTCCAAGGTTTGCATCTACTTCATTGACCACTAGGTCACACCCTTGAATGAAATTTCTTCCATGTTTCTTGCTTTGTTAACTCATTTGTCAATTCGTTAGTTCCACCTACTTTTATGAGAATATCTGTATCAACGAATGACAGTCTCTAATGTCTTTATATAGATTAGCTATATTCTACTTAGATGTTGAAACTTTGTATCCAGTCATATGTAGCTGCCTTTTTCAACATCAAGCTCTGTCCCTCCATTACCAGAACAAATAAGTGAGAAAGACGATCATCCTGTCTTAGTCTTAGTCCTCTCTGATAGGAAATAGTCCTTCTGGAGACCCATTAGTTATTATCATCTTCGTGTGGGAATACATTATCTTATCCAAATCCCAGCTTTCCATGATCTAAACAGATAAAACTCCAGTTGACATGATCATATTCTTTTCCTAAATTAAGTTAGAAACACTGTGCACTCCTTTTTTATTTCAGCTGGTGCGCAGGAGCACACTTTCATTTTCCCCTTTACAACGGGCTTTCATGAATAGGGATTTCCCGCCAGCAGTCTTCTCTTCTTATCACTTCACTTTGTTCTAGAAATCTGATCTCACCGGGCCGGGCGAAGGGGAAGGAAGAGATGGGTGGTCCGGGAACAACAACGAGAGAGGGCTCGTAGCCCCCCCTCTCACTCTTCCCCACGCCTATTTGTTCACCCGAGATGCAGAACTCTTTTTTTTTTTTTTTT